GCAGGTGTTGAAGGGAGAGGCTGGCAGGATGCTGGTTGTCAGATCATCCTCTGATGTGCTCAGAGGATAAAAGCATCCCAGTTCTGCTTGTGCCTCCAAGTTCTTGCTTTCAAGCTCTGGAGCATGGGCCGCAGTGGGGTTTTTCATGCTGGAAAGATTATCCATGGGCACCTGCTTTTCACAGGTGCTGGATAGTAGGATATAAGGTGGTGCATTTCTTGTGCCTGTGTCCTCAAATGCAATTTTCTCCGGCATTTGACCTTTTGACCGCTTTAGTCTACCCCAGTAGAAAGAAAATATCCTAGTCCGGTGCTGACGGACCACATTTCCTTTGTATTCACCCAGAAGCATAATCATCATTTTTCCCCCCTGTGGGGACAGTGGGGGGTAAAGTGAAGGTTGTGGGGAAGGGGTTTCCCTCTAACACTGTTCCTCCTTGCAGCGCCGGTTCCTGTTTCCGTTCTTCGACTCGGCGTACCAAGGTTTTGCCTCTGGCAGCCTGGACAAGGATGCCTGGGCTGTGCGATACTTTGTCTCCGAGGGCTTTGAGCTCTTCTGTGCACAGTCGTTTTCCAAGAACTTTGGGCTCTACAGTGAGTGTCTGGCAGTAAGCTGGCCCAGTAGCGTCATACCCAGACAGATGGGGCTGGCATGCTGGGGGTGGGGAGAGCTCTGCATTGCCGTGATGTGTGGGACCGATGGCTCACATCTCTTGGCTTGTCCACAGATGAGCGCGTGGGGAACCTGACCGTGGTGGGGAAGGACGCAGACAATGTGCAGCGTGTGCTTTCCCAGATGGAGAAGATTGTGCGTACCACTTGGTCCAACCCTCCCTCGCAGGGAGCACGCATTGTGGCAACTACACTTTCTTCCCCGCAGCTCTTTGCTGAGTGGTACGTGTGGCCAGGGCTGGTGGGAGAGGGCAAGGGCCAGGGGGAAGCTGTCTCCCTGCCTGCCAGGCTTGGCCAGATGCCTGTCCTCATGCCCTGCTTCCTGCCTGCTGCAGGAAGGACAATGTGAAGACGATGGCAGATCGGGTCTTGCTGATGCGGTCAGAGCTCCGGTCTCGCCTGGAGTCCCTTGGGACCCCGGGGACGTGGAACCACATCACAGAGCAGATCGGCATGTTTAGCTTCACGGGGTTGAACCGTAAGTACCAAGTGGCCTGGTGAAGGGAGGATTGGGTGAAGGCAGTTTTGCTGGGGGTGAACTGGGCTGAAGCAGTTGGGGACCTCACTGGAGTCCTGGTATCACTGCCACTGTGATTAGGCAGGGATGAAGCATCTGGGAGCATTTTAGTGGCCAGTGCTGGAAGTTTTCTGCTTGTGAAAGATTCAAGGAGCCCCGACTGGTTCTTTGGGCTTTTCTGAGCTGTGGGGTCACTGCACTGACCTATGTCCAATTGTTTCCCCAGCTAAGCAGGTGGAGTACATGATCAAGGAAAAACACATCTACCTGATGGCTAGTGGGCGCATCAACATGTGTGGCCTGACTACCAAGAACCTGGACTATGTGGCCAAGTCCATCCATGAAGCTGTCACAAAAATCCAGTGAAGCACGTGAACAACCAAACTTACATGAAGTCACCAAAGCTGTAGTGTGTAGTCCATGTTCTTTCCCTGCTCATGGCTTGCTTTGTCCCACACCTCTTGGGGTTTAATAAAGACGGGAGCAGTAGCTCAATCAGGGGTAATAATTTGACCTTTTTGAAATACCCCTTGCGATATGGTAAGCCAGTGCTCCCAGGAGGGTGGTAATGGCAGTATGAGCTGCCTTGCCTCTTGTTTGACTGACAGCAGCCTGTTCTTCAGGCACTTAGAGCTGCACCTTTGGCACATCCAAATCAACTCCATGTAACTGATCAGTTTGATCTAGGCAAAGTCTGGTGCCTGTGCAATGTGCTGTGGGATAACAGCCCAGTCGGTTGGGATCTCATACAGCTTGTGAACTAATGTCACTCAGTAGTATTTTTGGGGACAAGCAAAGCTGTTGCTGGCTTTCCCCCACTCAGTTCTGAGCCTTGTGCAAGCAAACATTCGTAATTGTGATAATCGCTTCTTCGTGTTGCTGACAGAAAATTAAACCTCCCATCTCTGAACACTACCCCTGCCTTGTGTGATGTGCCTTCAGGCTGTGTTAGCCTCTTCCCAGGCTGAGGTTAAAGCCTCAGCATCATGGTTTGTCCACTGGGCCTGAGCTTGTTTCACGGCTTTCCTTTTCTCCCTCATGGTGTGTTGCATCTCTGACAATTAGTTGCTACTAATGGGGCACAGTCCTATTGGGAGAGTGTAGTTGACAGCTCTCTGTGACTGTGAAGCTGAGCAGTTCCTCACATCCATCTTGTGTTCCTCTTTCTGTACCCCTGCCCTGTGCTGTGCAGCCTATCCTGTCCATCTGTATGCATTTGCTTTCTGGGTGGTTGTGTGTTACCCATCCATCTGGCCATCCCTCCCTGGCCCACAGCTCCTGGCCTGCCACTGATGCGTCAAAAAGCAGATCTTTCTTGTTCCTCCTCCTCAGCAGGCCCCTGGTGAACCACAACTTACTCCCCCTGGCTTCAGCAGGGCCTGCCAGCAACAGCCTGAGCTTCTGGCACTGAAAAAGCACTGGGACCATCTGCTTCTGCTCTCTCAACTCACTGTTTGCAGATCTATATATAAGCTGATATTACCACCTTGATAGAGCAGCCTCCTGCCAGGATGTTGGTGAGGAAAGGCGAACAGTCCCTTTCCTTGAGTCAGTTAGTGATAGTCATTGCTGCCCTTATGGACTTTGCTTGTGCTGCAGCTTAGTGAAGGTGAAAACAGTACCTTGTTCCCTTGCTATGTTTGTAGAGAGACAGTGCATGGGGTCTCTTGCTTGTCCTTTTCAGATTAGTGTCCATGTCACGTGAGAGAGTGAGCCAGAGGCAGCCTTTCCTCTGTGCAGAGGAGGAGCTTTTTCTCTTCTTGGTGTCCATCCACAGCTGGGATGATGGGGCAGTGGTTAAAGGATGACTTCTAGGGGTGATTTCAGGAGGGGTTGAAGGAACCAACTCTCCTTTTGTTATTTCTGACATCTACCTACACTTCTGTCCTTACAGACCTCTAGGTGTGGAACCTGGCCCACCTCACGTGTGATCTCTACCAGTGCTTTGCTAGCCTTATCAGCCTTGTTTTTCCTAATGAGTGACCTAAATTTGTCCCTTTCTGCGGTGTAAGCTCATTACCCATTATCCCATTTACCATGGCAACAGAGAAGAGATTATTCCTTTCCGCTTTGCAACAGCTTTTTATGTATTTGAAAACTTCCTCTCCCCCTTTCACATCCTTCACCAGTTAAGATTAAGCGACCCCATTTCCTTCAGCCTTTGGAGTAGGTTGTTTTCCAGCCCTTGCTTTCCCCTGGCCTCCTTTCAATTGCTGTGCGTTTCCTTAGAAGGGCAGTGCCCAGACAGGGATGCAGTTATTCCAGCTGAAGTTTTATCAGCATTGGTGGACTACTGGAGATTTCTGTTGTTATCTGTCAGGCTGTACTCCAGCATGCGTATCCCACTATTGTGTTTGCAACGGCATGACATTAACTGCGGTTCTTCCCCAGTCCTCATCTGCACTGCTCTGGTGTAACTCTTGGCACTGCTGTTTTTCTGGCAGCAAGAGTGACAGAGAGCCCACGTTCACAGGGAGAAACTGGGAAGCTCTTTCTGACCTGGTCCTCTACCCACTCCCTTCAGCGGTGCTGAGTCCTGTTACTCCAGCCGCCTCTGGCCGTAGGTACGAGGGCAGACCAGCCTGGTGGGAGAAGGTAGCACATCTCTCCCTACACCCACTGACACAAGACAGGGCATCGCTCAGGGAGAAATTGCTTTTAATGTTAGTATCCCCGTTGCATTCAGCCTCTACACAAACTACTGACTGGTCTGTACCAACCTGAAGGCTTGGTGTGAGCCTCCCTCGCAGGGGAGGAGGATGGTTCAATGCAGCGTGGAGCAGCCCTCCCCAGAGAGGGGGGCTATGGTCGGTGGTGAGCTGGGCTCCCTGCCCTGTGCCTAGCAGGGGTTTGGGAGTGCCGGGCTGTGTCGATGGTCAGCGTGCGCAAGGCGCTGTGAGTGTGCATGTCGCTAGGCACGGCACAAACGCGTGTTGGGGCCCTGAGCTGTGTGTGGCACCCCCCAAATAGCATGTTCTCCTTATGGCGGAGACCACGTCTGTGCAGCACCCAGCACTGAGGGGCTCTGGGCCTCGCTGGGATGGGGATGGTAAATGATGCTAAGGGCAGTTCTGGGTTGGGCCGCCCCTCCCTGCTTTGCCTGCAGGGACGTTGTGCCAGACACTTCTCCACCTTTCCTTTCTCCACCTCTTCTTGAGACCAGATGCTACCAGAGAGCAGCTGGGCAAGGGCCCTCGGACTCCAGCTAGCTGGTCCAGGCCGCCTGGGTAGGTCAGCCCCGCCGGGGGCACATCCTTTCTCGCCTGGGGATGGGGCTCTGCACAAGTCCTGCAGGGAGGGGCGGCACGAGCGGGCAGGCGGGCGGGCAGGCAGCGAGCAAGTGCAGACCTGCTGCTGTTGAACATGAGCCTCGGGGCAGGAGACCCCCATGCTGCAGACCTGGAAGACACAAGTGCAGCCTGGTGCAGGTGGCCAGAGCCTGCCCTCCTTGTCCTGCTGCTGCTCAAGCCTGCAGCGCTTTTCCTAGCCAGGCTGGGGATATTGGTGCAGACACACATTTCTAGCTGTGAAAACATGAGTCAGGGTATCACTCTGTCTCTGACATCCATTCCTGCCCCAAGGCTGGTTGGAGTCTGCTGCTGCATCCCTTGACCCTGCTCCAGCCCCCAGTGACATGCATGCCTGCGTGGGCTCCAAACTGCATCGTTTGGCTTTGCTGCTTGAAACTTGGTTTTACACTATTAAAATTGAGCAACCTCCCATTTGCTGGGGAAGGAATGTTGCACCGAGAGGCAGGTTCCTACCTCCAGTCTGCGTGGGCCTCCAGCATTGTGCTCCAGCCACGCTGCTGCTCAGGTGATTAATGGGGCAAGATTGGAGCATTCCTCTGGTGTCTTCTCACCCTCTGGTGATGGCTGCTGCTTGCGCCCACCTGCAGAAGCAAAGGTACCTAGGGCTGGGGTGCTGGGGGGGTGTGTGTGCATGGAGTCGAGCCTTATGGGCAGTTTTGCCTGCTGCTGAGGTGCTGCCTGGGAGCTGGGCTGCCTCCCTGCTCCATGCCAGCCCCTTGTAGGGCACCCCCAGGATAGGGCTGGGGAGGAGCTGACCCAAGGAGTGGGCTGCTGGGGCAGAGCTCTCCTCTGGGTGCTCCCTCCCCAGGTCAGTCACTCACTGAGGGATCTCAGCAGCCGCCTGCCCAGCGTCTCCTCGGAGCTACTCGGCGATGAGCTGGTCCCAGCCTCTTTGCCAGGGGACTCTGCCTCCAGGACGGTGCCGCAGCACTCACTGTCTGCAAAAGCCCAGCCTGGCTGCAGCACCCTGGGGCGC